TTGCTTATTAAGAAATACTATGTTTGCAAGAGCAATAAGACCCTAAGTCTTTAAAAATAACACGATTGAATATAGTATGACCAACAAGTATTTTCATCAACTCATTTAATAAACTAACAGCAGAAATAAAAACTTCGGGAACATAAGAAATACGGTATATTTTTTATTTCTTGATTGTCTGTCATGTTCAGTGTTAGTCGTCCCTTTTCACACCCCAGCAGTATCATATACAATAGAATAGGTGCATTTAATCGGGATGTCTTTAGTTGGGCTTTATTTCCAACTGTGAAAACAAAATGCTCGCAATGTGCTTGGATTCCTTTGGTAGTAAAAGCATAGGTTTAGGGTTAGGGTTAGGGTTAGATAAATGTATGAATATCAAACAAAAGATTTCAGGGTTTCATTTTTTATGTTACCTTAATTATCAGGTTTACTAAAGTGTATTAAGGATAAAGTTTAACAGTTAATTTGAATTTTGGGGATAAATTGGAAAATTTTGTTACTTCGATTTTAAAATTTGTGAATCAAAAACACCTTTTTCTTATAAAAATACTTTACTTCTGCTGGCTGACATAAACTGGTCGGCCTACCTGAAAATTGATGGGTTTCTACGATCTTTATTAACTAAATTTTGCGATCTGCCAAATTCATAAATTGATCTTTTTTTGCAAAAATGAGCAATTTCAGCACAGCAAAAGCCGTAGCTAACCATGAAAACCTAAGGTCATTTTCGGAATCAGCACCATCAAATTAGCTAAAAAAATGTGTTTTATTTCTTGGCACCTAAAATCGCGTTGACCTGTCTTATCTCTCTTAACCCGGGTAACTTTACGAGCAATAATTTGAGTTTAAAGCCACAGTCAGGTAATAGTGATTTTCCGGTAAATGTAAGGTACTTTTTTATTTCGTTTACTTAAATTCACTCAATACAAGGCCTAAGAACCAATCAAGGCAGAGGGTTATTGGATGAGGTGTGTGACATAATCACGTGCATATGGCGTGTAGAAAACTGGTGGCCCTAGACAGGGAGAGGTTAAGATTTTAGTGTTGGGGTAAGTACCCACACAGAAATCTGTTTCACAAAGTAGTGGTTGTTAGGAATCATTCGGAGTGACACACCATTTTTACAAAAGGAATATGGAGGAAATGAGGCTGATTCGACATTGTGTATGTAGTAAGGCGGTTCTTTATAAGCCCAAGTTGGTGGCACCAAATAATGGAATTTATCGCCACATTTGCTATAGAAGAAGCAATATTTTTTTAGCAACCATGAACTCATTCAATCTTTCATTCTCCTTCGAAGTTTCAGATTTCACTCACTGATCTTATTCTTCTCATCATTCATGAAGAAATATTTCTCCAAAATATTATTGTCATTACATCTCTCTTCATAATAATCAATCATCTCTAAAAACTGTAATGACCAATCACCATCCTTTATATTATTTCTTATACGGGTTTTAAAGGGCATAATTTTGGCTGAGCCCACGGGCTCGGAGATCCAACGTTAAACCAGCCTTGTGCCACATAATACCCTCGTGGGTAGGGGGGTGACTAAATACCGTTCAGCCTGAAGTCGGACGACCGGCTGACCGGTTGGACTCTCTGCCTTGGGGCGGGGAGGAACCCGAACGAGGCTACGCCGAAGGGCGGACTCTCTTTCGGGGAGGTAAACCGACCCTGAACCCATTAATACGTGTGCAAAGGGCATATTTTTTGGCCGAGCCCATCTGCTCGGAGATCCCACGGGCTCGGAGATTCCACGTTAAACCAGCCTTGTGCCACATGATACCTCGTGTGGGATGACTAAATACTGTTCAGTCTGAAGTCTGGAGTGAGGTCCGTCAGTAGTCTATCAGTCAGTCAGAGCGGGCGAGTCAGTCAGTCGAGTCAGAGACAAACCGAAACAGAGTCGCGTTTAGACAATTACTACTAAACCTGATTGTTCATACTAACACTTCTACTTCTCTGTATATATTCCTCTTTGTAATATATCTGCTTTATTCCATATATGTGTTCGAGTTCTTCTTTATTGGTTCTACCTTGGATTCTCACCGTGGTACAAGGAACAAACCATAACAATTTCTTTATTACTTAATCTTTTTACCTTAGTAAATTGTCTTTCTTGCTTTTCTTATTTGTCTTTCATTTTAAAAACAAAAATCAAAAGATCTGAACCATCATATAGTTTTATTTTTTTGCATTCTTACAAATATTTTCTTTCTTTCTTCATTATTCATGAAAAAATTCTTTATTCCATTCAATTAGGCTCTCTACTCTTTTTCTTGACTTTATTTTTTGTTTTATCTCTTCACTTTTCTCTCTACCTGTCTTTTTTAGACTCTCCTCCTACCCCCCTTTATCTTTTTTCCTATTCTCTCTCTTGATATCCACCTCTTCGTTCCAAAGTGATAGGCTTACAACGTTGCGTTTGTGGAGTAAAAAAAAAGGCATGGTGGCTAAAATAATGAATCACCCTCCATAAGACTTCGTTAAAATTTCGAGCTCTGTTAAATCGTTATATTAAATTAATATTGATCAAATAATAAGATTATCTTCATTCGTAACCTTTTGTTTAAGATCAGTGGGAAGATAATATTTTGATTTCTTTTAATTTCGCTCCAAGTAAGGCGATAATGCCACAAAAATGAATGGGATTACTCAATCTGAAAATATCCGAGAGGACAACAGAAGAAGTCTTTAAGTAGGCAGAAAATGACGATTGAGCTTCTGTTGATCAAAGTTGGCAGGAATGTAAAAAGCCGGAAGATAGTTCCACAAGAGCGAAATAGAATTTTAACATAGAACGTACGGTTACTACTTGCAATTTCTACTGTTCTAATGAGGAGACGTAGCTGCCAATCTAGAACTGCGCAAATTATATAATTATTTCTCCTACGAGATGGATTCACTCCCCATTTTTCGCTGTTGATATTTTGTGTATATTTTAGAGATCCTTTAGTACAGCTCTTTGTTTTTGATTAAATAGCACCAATCTATGCTTTCTGATAAAACAACGTCTTCATTAAGATTCATAGGATTTATACAGTTGAAAACATTTCTAATGAACCATATGAGAAAACGATTGTGTCGACAGCAATGTGTGTACAAAAAAAAACAAACAAACGTGTACTGCTTCTGTTTTGCTGACTTATACGGGACCAATTTTCAGGCTTTTGTTCGCCGCTGACGAAAATGCATGGTCACTGGTGTTAACTCTCTCTGAGATAGTATTTTATGGTTTTAAACTTGCTCTATCAAACAATGTTAATGTGGTCACTATATATTCTAGTTACCTTGTTAATGAGGTTGAGCTATTACTTACGAAACGTATTTCGTGTGTAGAGGGGTAGAGATAGATGTCGGAGGGAGAGAGTTTTTTTGCTTTTTTTTTCTGAAATTAAAATATTTTCAAAAATTTCTTAATACCATAAATTGTAGCCTACAAGTCGACCTGGAGTACAAGTCGACCGCATAGTTCGACTCTCAAACATGCAGTAAGCGACCAGTGGCCCAAAACTTAAGCCTACCAGTAAATGAAGTTAGGCTCCAGTATACAGAAAGGAGGCACTGTGGAGTACTAGATAGTCGCTCAGAGTGAGGAATCGGAGAGCAGAGTTCGAATTTCAGTTGAATCCATTCCATTCATTTACGTGCTAATACTCTTGGGATAGGTATGAATCCTGTTCTTCTCCCCCAGCTATGGTTAAATTTCAGGGCAGACATTGGATGGCAACTAGTCTTCCGCATAAAGAAATGACAACCTACTGCGGGAAAAATCTGTCTCGTCAATCATGTATCGAAAGATACATGATCGCCTAAGTGTATCACGCATGGCACATAACTGACTGATGCTGGATTTGTTATATTTTATATTAATTTAAGTGTTAAAATGCTAAATATTTTCACCAAACACAAGCTTACATGGAACATATTTGGGACTGCCTGATGGAGGTACGCTAAGTTGTGTATTATAATTATTAGGAGTTCTATTTAATTTCTCTACAACTCGGTGATAAATTATTTACATTATTTGGACTATTTTCCTCATCTTTCTCGCCATATTTATCACAACGTTTCGGTCGTTGAACGCTCCGGCCTTCTTCAGGTGGTTGGAATGTTGAACTGAACCCTTTATTTCGCTCACTGGGGTAGACTGTTCTAGTCTCACGTGCCATGTTTAATGGATGTCAATTATCAGTTATCTCCTGCTAATTTCCCTCTGAAAGTTCTGTCAAGGCACAGTGGATAAAAGCGTTGGTTAGATTCAGTGACAGGACCCAAAGAGTGTGAGTTCAATACCTGGTTAAGGCAGTGGAGAACAGCCGAAACGTTGTGATAAATATGACGACAAAGATGAGGACAATAGTCCGAATAATGTAAATAATGTACATAATACCTCATCTCAGAAATATAGACAGACTCGGTGATAAATGTTTTATATATAACTCGACCCCTAGAATTGGGAATATATTTTAGTTTTGAAAACGCAAATTGTACGTCTGAATTTACAGTAGGGAATTTGGTAAGTTAGATTGTGTTGCAATAAACTTTCAATTTCACTTCGTTCCTAAAAAATGGCTTTTATCTGAGCTTTTAAAAAGAACCATTGGCGTTGATCGAAAATTACACAACAACCTCACCCACAAAGCGAGCGAAGATTTTTGTATGTGAAGACCAAAGTCTGTATTGATAATTATCTTCCGTTAATTATTCATGGTTCAGATATTTTCACCAATTATCCCTTTCTCATTGTCAACTGTCTGGACTTGCGTGTTTCGGTTGAGGGAGCGGTCAATTTCTCTTGTTCAAGGATATCAATAATGGCTTCTACGCCCTCAACAAGCCACACACAATATAATTTTCTTTGTATTTTCTGTTCGGGGTTTATTGTCTTTCTTTTTCCTCGATAAGCCACATCTTTTCAGGTAATGATGGCCATCCACAACTTCTCATACATTATAGCTCCTAGCAATGTTTGTGTTTTTTACCATCCCTCCTGCGGTCTTATCTCACAAAAACACCGGTTCCTGTACGATCACCGAAGTTAAGCAACGTCGATTCCGCTCAGTACCTAGATGGGTGACCGCTTGGGAGTACCAGGTTCTGTGAGCTTGTATGGCTGTTGGCATAATGGATAATTACTCGGATTGTTTTGCAATGTCGATCGCTATCTACTGTCTTCCTGGTTACTCTTTTCTCTTCCAGCTCATTAATGTTTCTGTTCCGTAACCGCTTGTGTCTTAGGGGCTTGCATGGGGTGAAACCGATTAAAAAAAATTGAGTACCAATTCTCTCTGAGTTCGTTGCATAAACTCACGCGCAAATACCGTTGGGAAAGGTATGAATCCACCTATTCTGCCCTACCTATAGGTTAATTATAAGACTGGTATCAATAAACCATTATTATCTACCTCTTTCAATAGAAATTCTTTAAATCTAAAAAGATTTTCTGGTTCTAAATGACATGTAAATAGTTGATAAGCCGTAGAAAACGAATCAATGCAAATGATATTCCCCGTTCTGACATCTGTTTATATCAACATATTCATTTTGCTTTCAATATGCCCTGTGAGTGTTAAATTTTCTAAACCCCCTTCCTCATGTATTTGGACTGTCTCTTTCTCATTCTAAATATGTTCTTTTTTGTTTCGATGACGCGTACATAAAAATTCAGGTGCTGGGATTAGTAAATACTAAACACTTCAAATATTTCGGTGTATTGGTCAATTACAACAAATGCAGTATTTCATATACGGAATTAAAGGAGATCGCGGATTAAAATTGTTTCGAACGAATAAAGGGTTTAGATTTCAGCAGGGGTTATCCTACTTCGAACCTTGTGGACTGGCGTTGTAGAATCACAAAGAACCGTAGCAGGTAACAAAGACAACATTGGAACCACTTCATATTCCATTGTTTTTTCTATTTGAGTATTAAATATATTTAAATGGTACAGGTTGTCGTGCTTCTTTATTTTCAAAAGCTGTCGACCAGTTCAATTGGACACCCGAGCACTTTGCAGTTGGCCGTTGATCCCCCCCAACCAAGACGATAGTTGGACTTAAGGTAAGCTGTACATTCACGACGAAGAAAGCGGACTAACACTCGCTGCCACGTATGTTGGAGCATTTATTATGACATAGCAATAAATCCGGATAAACTTGTTTTCTTCAATTTCTTTTTAGAATAGACAATGAGACTTATACTAAGTTAAAACTTAATGTTGCGAAAGGTTAAATGCAAGTGTCAGCCAGGACTCTTTGCAAATTACCTCCCCCTCTCATCGTTACCTCTGTTTTTGTTGTTGTTGTATGTGTTATATGTAATAGGAGTAGGTAGGCTTTCCTAACGCCCGGTCAACACTCCTCCCCCTTCTCTTGGACATGAGTAGAGGCTTACGCCTTGTTTCTTGTTTAGGAAGGGGTTTCCGGTACTCTATCTCTCTCTCTTTTACTGGCCTCCCTATCTCCAGTTGCGTTGATCTATCCACTACTCTTCTTCTCATCCTTTCTTCTATCACTCCTATCTGATCTTGCTCCAAATTTTCTGTAACCGCTTCCGTCCTAGTGGCTTCCCGCCTTGCTTGGAGTGAAACGCTTAAAAAAAAAGAAAAAAACTCTCTGTAAACTTGTCGTATCTTGGCATAATATCGGGGATATAATCACGACAAACGGAACGGAAAGTTTTAGAGAGACATGCTGCTCACATCCTGAAGGGATATGGCATAAAAAGGAAGCAGAAGGATGTTGCCGATGCAAGTCGTTTGAAAAACCTAAAAAGAATACCAAACCTTGCTTAGAGCTACAAGTAACAGAATATTGTAGAGAACTATGCCAATCCACGTCCTCAAGGGACACGGCGTAGAGATAATGATAATAGAGATCTGCGTTTTCCGTTGTAAATTCTGCAAAAACGTGTGTCGCGAAGATCATCCTGTCTATTCTTCCGATGTTTTCATAAGATTTTCTCTTGTCTGACCAGGTGAATCAGGGGCGTTTCTGAAATAAGCCTTGCAAATGGTATGCGGGGACTAAAAAAGTCAAAAGGCGAAGAAAGATTGTGCCAAATCACGACGGCAAGTGACCAAGAACAAATCATTTTTTTCTCCTTCCTTTTTCTTGCTTTTTTTCGCTTGTGTCTTAAACGAAACAATGTCAACTCGGGCACGTTGCTACAAGAGTCACGATGAAAAATCAATTTGTAATACAAAATTGGACTTAGCCTAATTTCACACTGCTTCGTTGCTTTCCCATTTTCCTTAGCCTCGTTTGCAATTTTCTCCAGAGTTGTGTATTGAGAGTGTCTGCAAGCTTTTTTTTCCTTCTCGCTCTAATCTCGTCTCGATTTGACAGGGCTTTTCAAACATGGTTCTCATCAGATTCTGGCTGATTCTCAAGAGAATGACGGCTTTCTGCAAGAGCTTGCGTGGCAAAAGTCTTGCAAGGGTCTTGCCGAAATTTAAATTATTTCCGAGACAAAATCACCAAGATGTGACAGTTTCCATCTTTGTCAACTTTGTTACTTGGAAGCATTATTCACTTTTTTGCTCTTTCGTAAAATGACTCTTTTTTTTTTGTTTTGTTTTTTTTTTCCATTGTGCATGTATGTCTTTTTATGATAGCAGACAGGTCTTGCGCTGGTGTGCATATCGGTGTGCCTACATAACACACCTACTTGGGAACCTCGGCTTGGTGCAATGGTTATCAAGCTCGTCTCGCTAGATCAGATACGACTGAAAAGTGAGTTCGATCCTTAGTAGGTGCCCCAGAATATCGGTCTTGTGCCATATCTAAGCTTCGCTTAGAAAATAGCCATAACACACCTGCTTATATTTCTCCTTCTTCTACCGAATGTTGAATCACTTCAATATATGTGCGATTACGGCTCTCCACATCTTCTTATTAATTTCTATTTCTTAGCAATGTTTCTATATTGACAATCACTCCCAACTCTTATTCTGCTATCCATTTACACAATAGTTAATTATTGTTATGGTCCAGGTTAGAACCAAGGAAGAACAACACGAACACAAGAGTAGAAATAACGAAGGTATATTACACGAAATAATAATACAAGATGTGGAAGGTGTTAGTATGACTGTCAGTCTGGTTTGGAGTGAACTACTATCGGTTCGACTCGATTCGACCTTCTCTCTTGAGAGGCGTAGTATATATAGTATTAGAAAGAGTTCATTCTGTAGTTATAGGTAAGGACCCATGACAATTAGTCAGGTTTCTTCCACATTATCAGTTGCCCGCATACCTCCAATATGTCTTGTGAGTGTCTAATTTTCCAATCACTCTTGCCTCGATATGGGTTTTAGAAATTTCACCTCTTTCTGATTCTAAGTCGGAAGAGTTACATTTATGAGTCCCACCAGCTCAGTGCTTCACAGGTAGGACCACGCCCTGTCGTGTTCACGGTGGAAAAAACTGTCCACGTTCTTTTCGTGACACTTTAATAAAAAGTAAGTTACATTTAAACTGTTTCTTCTCGGAACGGTTACATTCTGGAAGAAAATCCCGTGAGAATGCTTTCTTGAAAGCTACAATGATATCTGTCCCACTTGTCCTCGGAATAACCCTCTTACTTCCCTATTCTCCTTCTTTACAATTTCAATCAGTAATACTCTACCTTGAGTGACTTTTGGCTGAACTAACAGAAAATATAACTAATTTTTCCTTTTTCCTTAAAGCTTCCGACTTATCCACATGATCTATCCATGGTAATCACAGCATTCTTACTTCATGTCTCATCTGTAAAGAAATTCTTCAGCATTCGCAGCCATATAGAAGCATTTATATTATATGCCATTTCAGAATTCTTTTCTTTGTTAATATTTCTTAAGCTTTTTATTAATATTTTTTAATCAGTATTTCCGAATCGAAGGCAGTAAAGCCACTAAGACACAAGAAGGTCACATAGTGTAGAAAAATTAGGAACAGAAACATTAATAATGAAAGGGAAAAGGAAAGATTAATCAGAACGACAGCAGATAGCGGTTAACATTGCATTAAAATTATTGCAGATTAAAGGTGGCTGGAAAGCGTGGATCGGGAAGAGAGTTCCACAAGGGAAAGTGCGAGAAAAGAAACTGTTAGCATAGAATTTACGGCTAAATCTAGCCAGCTCAACTGTAAATTGCCGACATCTCGACGGATAAGAGTTTATCAGTCATTAAGTTTCACTAAAGCTTCATCAGAGACGGAGATATAAGCTTTTTTCCCCTCCATTTTTCTTCCATATCTTCCATTCACTGACAAAGCTTTAATAAAAGTGGAACATGTTAGTAGTATAAACGTTTCCTCTGTCTTCTTTATATTCCGTCCTGATTCCGATCAATATTTGATCTATATTTGATCCCCTACTCTTTGCCTCTATGTCTCCGTCTAATTAATCTTCCTATAGTTGATTACACAACCATAGACACTGCCCTTAAGCATCATTGTGAAAAGCACAGTTCTTCTGCCTTTTCAAAAACCGCCACACACAAACACACACATATGTAATAATAAAAAATGATAATAATAACCCCTTGGCGGTCAAGATTAAAACGCATCTCTACCAATTTCAATGAATACGGATAATATTTCATACCGGATCGGCCGTCAACCGGGACAACAAGGGCCGCGTCCCTCAGAGAGGAACCAGTCTGAGGACGAAAAGTCTGCCACTGGAACAAACTCTTCCACACACGAAAAGAAGCTTGGTCACCAAACCCGGATTATTGCCAACCTTGGACCAAGTGACTCAATACCAAATCGACTAATAAAAAGTAAACGAACGAAATGGAGCCGCGAAGAGTATCAAGTCATGATATCCTTCTTCACTGCACTCGAAAACCCAGCAAAGAACACCACCAATCAAACATACCAAATATGGAGAAGTACGATGTAATTTAATTTTTTTTTTTTTTTTTTTTTGTCAGTCGAAAGTGCCATGACGCCATTTCTAACCTTAGGTACCTGGGCGGGACCCGGAAAGAAATGTGTAAACGCCAGAAATCAAAGAAAATAATAATAATAATAATAATAATAATAATATTTAAAAATATGCATTCATCGCAACACAGAAATTACCATGTTTCGGAACCAAAGCCTAAACTGT